AAAAAAGTAAAAATATGAATGGTATTATAAAGTTATACTAAAACTAAAATAATGGGAAAAACCCTTAAGATAACATGTAGAAAGAAAAAACTTATCTTAAGTGTGCAGAATAACATAAGTGGACTTTGAACGATTATGTAATTGTGGCATCCAAAATTGTAATCGCGATTAGAAATTAGATTAATTGTACAGCCCTACTAGAAATGAAAAAAATAAATGTTAATACAATTTTTCTCCTCTAACTAAAGTAACAAACGTAAAATAAGCAAAAAGTAAGACTATGGTTTGTTGTTAAAAATAAAGTAAAAGTAGGGGTTACTTTTGTTCCATTATTCCAAATGAATAGATTATGATCCACAAATAAATGTAGAGATTCACAAAAATTTTACAAATTCACAAATAAATACAATGAGATCAACAACAGGCGCCTTGAGTGTACGGAGAAGAGCAGCAAAAAGTCAGTTTCAGTTGACAAACAAATGATCTGTGCATGCGATTTACTTTGACTGAACATATTTCTACATTAGATGTGTGATTTTTCCCACAGTGTTTAAAAAAAACACCCTTTCTCCCAACAATAACTGTGCTTACACTTAATAATAAAACATATAAATATTTTTAGAAGCTGCTTTCAAAATCCACCTGGCTCAAAAATCTGCAGTGGCACATGCATTTAAATCAGAATGGTGTTTTATGGCATCGTCACACCAGTGAATGACTGACATCAACCCAGTTTTCTTTCACTAGTCTGCCCACTGGCCCTCAGAACAGTGAAGCGAAGGGTGGCTAATGCTTCTTTCCCTGACAGAATGATCCAGAGAATGAATGTGATGTTCTAGGACTGAACTGAGTGGATCTGTAGAACACTCCTTAGTGCCTATAGGGCCCCAGCAACAACAGAAGATGTCCCATGAACTTATATAATCAATATTACTGAGCTGTATCAGAAAACCGTGGACTTAAGTTTCAGTATGACCTTCCAAAGAGTCAGAGTTTCTTTGTCAATGTGATACACAATACATTTGCTTTTCCCAGAACTAAAATGACAACACCTCTATAACCTTACAGAACATCTGATCAAATTTCTGCACAGCATCTTTAGCATCATTTCACATATTTAGCACCTGCATAATTCCCTAGGTTAATATGCATAATTTGGGAACTGTAGCCTTTCTGTAACACGGTTTTTTGTAATTAGGTGAGTATTTCCATTAACGAGGAATTACGCAGATGACCTAGAACGAAAATATTTCAGCATGTGATGACAAAAGGCTGCTATGTCTTCTTAAACCACCTACGCATGAATTGACAAAGCTCTTAGAATTGAAATTATTTTGGCCACTTTTAGCATTGTTAAAATTCAGGCTGCTCAAAATTAGACAAATGCATTTCCTTATATTTGCAACCACTATTGTCCTTATATGACTTAAAGGCTGAGCAAAACGTCCACAGCTAGATGGCGACTTGAATAAACAACCGAAATTATTAAGGTGGCCAAGTTACACCTCCATATAAATGTAATTCTTTAACGTTTTATTCCTCTTCCCGCCTCCCATTTAAGATCTAAAAATAAGCTCAGGCCCAAAAGACGGTAGCAAAGTCTCTCTCTCTCTCTCTCTCTCTATCATAGTGCAGACACCTGTCTAAGTGCCCTGGTCAGTTAAATGTAGACGTAGCCTGAGGACTAAAGCTGTTCCATTAAAAACTGTTCCACACAACACAAACTCAAGAGTACAAGGACTTAGCACATGGCATATGTGATAACTTGGTGTATGCATTCTGATAACAGTCTGGTTGCATTGCTCAAGCAGAGCAATACTAATAAACATATTTAAATGTAAAAAACAGTAACTTTGTACAGTGAAAATTTTAATTCCACTGTGAATTATAGAATAATATACTCTCTCCATAAAATACTCTTTTGTGACTTCTCTTTGCATCTCTATCTCTCTCTCCATACTGTGTAATTATACTGCATAGTTGAGCATTAGCAGGCTGTTTGCTTGGCTGGTGCTACAGCAGTTGAAAAGGTGTTTATTCCCCATAGTAGCACTTGGTGCCAAAACTGATCTCATAACCTTATTCTAATGCTTGAGCGTCAAGTCCAGATTTGCACAACTCTACATAGGCCCTAAATTGACTAGAATAAATGTCAAACATATTAAGAAAGAGCTACAGATTTACTGGTGCTTGAATTCTTAGGCAATCATTACTGAACTAAAAGTCAAAGGACCGTGGTTCAGTAGATATTGATTTAGTTGTTTTTTTCTGGCAAGCGTAATAATGTTATCCTTAATACAGATTGTATTTGTTTTCGTATTGTTTTCAAAAGATTAATCATTTAGTTATTTGTACATTTTTACAATGAATCTCTATATATGTTGGTTTATACTACAAAATAAAATACTGTAACCGATGCAATACCATGCATACTCTGAAACAGGAATGTACTCATTTATTTGCATACAAATGATCAGATATGCAGAGTGCTGTAGTTTGTGAGCTGTAATTATGCTGCTTAGAAAAAACGTCTCAGGTTACTTATGTAACCATGGTTCCCTGAGTAGGGAACGAGACACTGCGTCGTTATTGCGGCTGATCACATTTTGAGTCTCATTATGACTTTAATCTTAAAATATTAAAGGAGACCTATTATGCCCCTTTTTACAATATGTAATATAAGTCTTGGGTGTCCCCAGAATGTATCTGAAGTTTCAGCACAAAATACCCCACAGATCATTTATTATATAATTTTGAAAATGCCTATTTTGCGTGGAAGCAGAAACACGCCGTTTTCTTGCATGTATCTTTAAATGCAAATGAGCTGCTGTTCCCTGTCTCATTTTCCAGAATAGGGCTGTGCCTTTACAGCTCAGATTCTGATAATAAACATCCGTTTGGTTTTGATTATCATGTCTATTGCGCCGAAATCAAGTGTTTTAAAGCCATATCTGTTTAAACTTCTGATATATGGTTTTCTGAGTGCACACATCTGAAGCACACGCACAGAAAGCGGCTGTCACACGGCATGTGTTATTGCGTTTAAGATGTCAAATACACACAAGTTTATGTTAAAAACACACAAGTTACAAAACAGTCGGTTATGTCTGTGAAGTTAAACAGCTGGGAAAGAAATTGCATTTCTTTCAGCGTAATATACAGAAAATAAATCAATAGCCTTTCTTGTCTCTTTTGAGGCTGGGATTCTAAATAGTTTTCTGTGCTTGTCAGTGCATCGAAAGACAGAACATTGAAAACTGGTACACCATTGTCGCTCGTGAAAACACCATGTTGGTGCCGTGGATGGAAACTTGCAGATTAAGGGGCGGTAATATTATAATACGATCCCCTTTCTATGTCACGGGGGGAGATAAATCTGAGTGGCTCACTTTTTCACGTGCTTGCAGAGCAAGGCTTACCCAAAAAATTTACTGGGTTGTTTTTTTTTTCACGTTTTCTAGGTTGGTAGATGCACCATGGGCCCGATTATAGCACTTAAACACAGAAAAAGTCAGATTTTCATGATATGTCACCTTTAAGACAACTTCACAAAAAAACACTATTTGAAGCCATCTGTTTCTTAACACAGTGATATACTGATACTGATAAGATATACTGATTAGTAAGTTATAAGTTTCACTCAAAATCCTCTCAGGCAGGTACAGGCACCATCAACTTGGATTTCTCTTGGTTCCCAAACACTTTTGTGAGAACCAAACAGTTGCCATAGAGATGAGCTGTCTACTTTGTCATTCACAGTGTCTGCCATACAAAAATACCCACAAGCCTCTACAGATCACTCCTATTCTTACTGACTCCAAACATTATTTTTATAGTACTCCAGTTAAAGAGCTGCCAACATTTTTGGGTCAATTAAGTGCAGAAATGTGGTTATGAATCTCATTAGGCTAGGTAAGGTAAGGTATACAGGCAGGTGCACTCACTAGAGCAAATAATCTTACAACACAAAGAGTCACGTCCCTCTAAAGCAGTGATGGTGTCTGGCGCATTTCGACTTTGGCGCTGGTACATGTAATGCTGGTGCAAGGTAACATGTGTAAACAGATCAATAGATCACCCTGGTTATGTCAAAGAGTGCTGGAAAGCATCCAAAAAGAGGATGTGCTCTAATAACTTCATCATTAATATATACAGCAGTGATTCGGGTTCCAAGAACACACTTATCAATACCAGCATCACATGCGCAAACAAATCAACATTACATTATATAACTGTACATGTAATTATTGTGGCACCATACAAATACATAGATTGGGGGATGCAAGGTATAAAAAAAATCGCTATATAAATAAACTCAAAGCTCCAAGAATGTACCTTCTAATCCTAATATAAGTTATTAGACTGGGATTGTTATTGATAAAGGCCCAGCTGACTTGAAAACCATAAAAACATCCCTCACATACATACAGCTGAAGAAAAGTTAGAGGCTGTCTCATGCAACTACGCAGTAAATGACTTAAATAAGCCACTGAAGACATACCTGCTTTTCAAGTGTTTTGAATCAATCCTGATTTTATCAAAACACACATTTTCCACAGGTAAGCCTGTCCCGGACAGAACGTCCTGTTTCATTCGATCCTGCCAGCAAAAGCACTGCAAGAGAGCAGTTTCAGTCAGACCGGAGACTAAGAGAGACCCCTCCCCTCTGTCTTCAGCTGCAGCCAAACCGTGCCGCAGTAACCAACCAGAAGTGTGTGTGTGTGTATCAGAGAGCGAGTGACTTTTCCGAGGTAGCCCTGGATTGAATTTTCCTCCCCTTACCCAGAACCCTCTGTGCCAGCCGAGGCAATAGCAGGGACAATCCTCCCTGCTCTGCAACACACACAAGCATCACATAAAAACACAATAAAACCACAAAAAGGATCTCTATTAAACACTGTTAAAGGCTGCTGGGGTTTTCACGTCGAATAATGAGTCAGAGAGCTCAAAGTTCACTGCTGACTAAGAATGTTTGTGTGTGTGTGTGTGTGTGTGTGTGTGTGTGTGTGTGTGTGTGTGTGTCTGTGTGTGGGTGGGCAGATTACCTCCTCCTGGCTACAACTTCTGTAGAAATAAGGGGCCCTCCTGTGAGTATCAGAATGCATGGTTGCTAAGCAGCCAAAACTATCTTGTTTAAAGAAATGGAGGAGTCTGTCTCTTTAGTTTTAAACCTGGTGGATGAGAGAAACAGTGACGATATGACAAACAAAAGACAATGTAAAATGGACCACTTCTACTAAAGTTGGTCTTAACTCAAAATGGGAGATTCAAAGCCCACACAAATCTGTTCAGATTAACAGTGATAATCCAGCCAAATGCATGTTCGTTGCGTTCACAGTTCTTCTGGAGAGTGTGTGATACATCTTAATAATTTTATTTTATTTTACTACCATTTTAATTTTAAATTAAATAAATAATTTAATTCCAAAAGTATGCATTAAATTGATACGATTTTAACAGTAAAAACATTTATAATGTTACAAAAGATTTCTATTTCATGCTGTTCTTTCGAACTTTGTATTCATCAAGGAATCCTGGAAATGTATCACGATTTCCAGAAAAAAATTATTCAGCAGCACAACTGTTTTCATTGATAATAATAAGAAACTATCCTTATGTGACACTGAAGACTGGATTAATGACTGCTGAAAATGCAGCTTTACCATCACATGAACAAATTATGTTAAAATAAAAATTAATTATGTTATGTTAAAATTATGTTAAAAATTAAATATATTAGAATAGAAAAAAAGATAATTAATATTTTATAATATTACTGTTAAATGCAGCCTTGGTGAGAACCCCTACTAACCCCGATTTTTTGAACAGTATATTGAATATAGTGATATTCAACATGGTCAAATCCATTTAGACAAAACCATTTGGTTTCACCAAATATGTCAATATACAGAAAGTCTCCAGTTTTTTTATTCTAAAAACTAATAATATTGAAGAACTCTTTCTGACATTTATAAAGAAATAGAAATAAATGATTAAAAAAAAACGTACAAAAGTCTGTTTAATGCTAATCAGTTCACTCTGTGTCATACTGTCTACTTGAATTGGTAGAGCAAAATCTACTTATTTATTTACTGAAACAAATGATAAATTTCATTTCTGAAGACTAAACTGCACGAAAATGCCATTTTTCCATTTTTTAAGTGTTCTCAATGCTATATGGTTGCTGGGGTGTTCTGGGTGATTGCTTGCTGGCGCAAGTCAAAATAGCACACCAACAAGTATGATATTCTGGCTTGCTATCAACTAAATAGTGGTTAGTCAGCTGACTTATCACTGAACTGTGGTCAATAATAGACTATGGTATCTTCAGTCTCACAGCTGTTTTTCCAGATAAACTCATATTAGATGCCAGGAAAACACTGCTGACAAGCACTGAGACAAAACATACACACAAACAAACCAAAAAAAAGTGTCAAGAGCATCAGTGAAGAATTAAGTTGTGGAAAGATATTGTCCTGTCCACTTCATATCACAGTCAAAGTTATTAACTTGTAAACGTACAATCTTGCTCCCAACGTCATTCAGCATGGAAAAAAAAGCATAACACATTGTGTAGAAAAACACATAACTTCAATGACACACACAAACCCCAGCCAGCAACCATAACCACAGCTGTAACCACTGACATTGAGGTACATGATATCAGAGCGCTGTGTAACTGTGTTTAACTGCCCTTAAATAGACAGTTAGAATGAAGTCCATATTTCTGTTTGCCTTCAATGTCTTCAGCACCGTTTTGAGAGATGACAAGCAGACCACTTGTAAGGAGACTATGGACCATATTGTTTCAAATAATTCTGTTTAGAACAGTTAGTTTGCCTCTGGGTCTTTTTTAAACTCAGACCACACTAACAACACCACATTTGCATACATTTTAACACAAGCTCAGGCACTAGTCATGGTTGTGCAATAAATGCTTGACCTGGTCATGTTATCAGGTTAAAGATAAATTTGATATTTGCAGTATTCCAGTGAACCAACATCAGGATCACTTGGGAAAACAAATCAGCACTCTTAGTCAAGTGGACAATACAGAAGTGGGCAAATACTCAAGCAGTGGTAAAAGACAAAGGTTTCACTTGGACCTACAAAAATGCTTTACCTCAATGCATGTGAACTTTGGCTTATCAAACACTACTATTAACTATTAGTGTATGTGTGTGTGTGTGTGTGTGTGTGTGTGTGTG